TGATTAATGGCTAGTTCGAGTAATTTAATGGCCATATGTGCTAACCGTCATCCACGTAGGCATGGGCGGATCTAGGGGGGTCCTAGGGAAAGCTATATTTTAATTTAAATCAAAGTTAACAAATAATTTTAATTATATATTTCATGTTATCAACAACTTTTCAATATTTCATCAACTTTTAATAAAATATAGTAAAATTTAATTTTAATCTCCATCAAAGTGGACTAAGCGAGTTTATCAATCTGGGGGGGCTGTGTGTAATGGAGTCACGAAATTTGAAACTTCTAATTGAAACAAAATTAATGTTCAATGACCAAATTGTAATAAATTAAAGTTTAATTACTAAGTTAAGATATTTCTGAAAGTTCGGACACCGCATATGGAAATTTACCGACGTTCAAAAACAATAATTGTTCGAAGAATAGCATGGAATACGCAGCGGCGAGCTCTCATTTCAAACTGGAAGCGCGAACCATAAATCACTTCAATCTACATCACTACTTACCTCACAATGTTTAACGTTGCGCCGTCAACAAACCGAAGATTGTGCAGATACATTATTTCAAGTCCTGCTTTTTGTTCATTCATTGACGCCTCTGTAATTCACTCATTCTCACTCTCTCAGCGCCCCATTTTTGCTACTTTTGATCACCATAAAACAACGCAAGATAGAACCTTAACCCATAATGAACTAACCGAATTTTACTCCCCAAAATCTGAGATTTCCCTTTATGAAAAATGTGATTTTTTGATTGAAAAATACCGGTTTTCTTGTTCACCTTTCGATGGCGAGCAGCTCCATTTAGAAATAATCAAGAAGGGGTTGGTTAATCACTTGTTCCTGTGCAACACTCTAATTAATGTATACGCAAGGAGTGTTGATTTGGTGTCGGCTAATAAAGTGTTCGATGCAATGCCTGACAAGAATTTGGTCACGTGGGCTTGCTTGATTTCTGGTTATACCCAAAATGAAATGCCCTATGATGCGTGTGCTATGTTTGGGAGAATGGTATCTTCCGGATTCATTCCCAATCATTATGCTATTGGAAGTGCTCTGAGGGCTTGTCAGAGTTTGGGAGTTGATGGTCTGAGATATGGAATGCAAATCCATGGTTTCATTTCGAAAACTCCTCACACATTTGATGTGATTGTGTGCAATGTGTTAATTTCGATGTATGGGAGTTGTATGGGTTCTGCGGGTGCAAATTATGCTAGTCGGGTTTTTGATGGAATAGACAATAAGAATTGTATTTCCTGGAACTCTATTATTTCAGTTTACTCGCAGAGGGGTGATACATGTTCTGCTTTTGTTCTCTTTTCTAGTATGCAAAAGGAGGGTTTGAGGTTCAGTTTTAGGCCTACCGAGTATACTTTAGGCAGCTTGATAGCTGCTGCAGCCGCATCCTCTTGTGTTGATAGTGGTCGGTCATTGCTCGAGCAGATGTTGGCAAAAATTGTAAAGTCTGGATTTTTAGGGGACCTGTATGTTGGTAGTGCTTTGGTGAGTGGTTTTGCCAAGTTTGGGTCAGTGGACACTGCCAATAAGATTTTTCAGCATATGGGTGCAAGGAATGCAGTGTCCATGAATGGATTGATAGTTGGATTGGTGAAGCTTAAGCGAGGAGAAGAAGCAGTTGAGGTCTTTATGAAAATGAGAAACTTGGTTAGAACAAATTCTGATTCTTTTGTCACTCTTTTGAGTGCCTTTGCTGAGTTCTCGTATTTGGAAGACGGGAAAAGAAAAGGGAAAGAAGTGCATGTGTATCTCATACGAACCGGCATCATTGATTCTAAGATCACTATTGGAAACAGTTTGATTAACATGTACGCCAAATGTGGTGCAATTGAAGATGCATGCTCTGTTTTTAAGTTGATGTCTTGCAAGGATTCCGTGTCATGGAGTTCTATGATCTCTGGTTTTGACCAAAATGATCGTTTTGAAGATGCGTTGTTTAGTTTCCGTGCAATGAAGAAAGCTGGACTCATCCCATCAACTTTTACACTGATTAGCGCTTTGAGTTCTTGTGGTAGTCTAGGTTCGATCTGGATGGGAGAACAAATACATTGTGAGGGTATTAAATTGGGACTTGATTTGGATGTTTCAGTATCGAATTCTCTTCTTTCCATATATTCTGATACCAGATATGTTGCTGAGTGCAGGAAAGTTTTTTCATATATGCCCGAATATGATCAGGTGTCATGGAATACAATTGTAGGAGCATTCGGTGATTCTGAATCCTCTATTATTGATGCTGTAGTATATTTCAAAAAAATGATGCAAGTTGGATGGATTCTTAACAGCATAACCTTCATAAACATCCTTTCAGCAGCAACATCTCTTTCCCATTTTGAATTTGCACGCCAGGTTCATGCACTGGTGTTAAAGTACCACCTTATGGATGATAGTGCCATTCAGAATGCACTACTCTCTTGCTATGGAAAGGTCGGATTGATGAATGATTGTGAAAGCATATTCTCTAGAATGTCGGAGAGGCGAGACGAAGTCAGTTGGAATTCCATGATATCTGGATATATACACAACGAACTTCTATCTAAGGCCATGGAAATAGTGTGGCTTATGCTGCATAATGGTCAAAGATTAGATCGGTTCACCTTTGCCACTGTTCTCAGTGCTTGTGCCTCTGTTGCAACACTAGAGCGTGGCATGGAGGTTCATTCTTGTGTAATTAGAGCTTGTTTAGAGTACGATGTTGTGATTGGGAGTGCACTTCTTGATATGTATGCCAAATGTGGAAGAATAGATTACGCTTCAAGATTTTTCACGTTAATGCCAGTACGGAATGTATATTCCTGGAACACCATGATATCTGGCTATGCACGACATGGTCATGGACATAAAGCACTGGAGATATTTGCTCGCATGAAATTGGAAGGCCAAGAACCAGACAATGTGACCTTCGTTGGGGTCTTATCAGCTTGTAGCCATGTAGGATTGGTCGATCAAGCATTTGATCATTTAGAATCCATGAGCAAAATGTATGCGTTGACACCTGGGATTGAGCATTTCTCTTGTATAGTGGATCTTCTTGGAAGAGCAGGTGAATTTCATAAGATGGAGGACTTCATCAATAGAATGCCAATAAGACCTAATGTTCTTATTTGGAGGACTGTTCTAGGTGCCTGCGGTCGAGCGAATGGTCGCATGGCTGATTTAGGCAGGAGGGCTGCTCAAATGCTTATGGAATTGGAACCTCAAAATGCAGTAAACTATGTCCTGCTTGCAAACATGTATGCTTCTGGAGAGAAATGGGAATATGTGGCTGAGGCCCGTCGTGCAATGAGGCAAGCAGAAGCAAAGAAGGAAGCTGGGTGCAGTTGGGTCACTATGAAAGATGGAATACATGTTTTCGTTGCAGGAGACAAATCACATCCTGATACAGAAGCAATATATGGTAAAATAAAGGAACTGCATAAGAAAATGAAAGATGCTGGATACATCCCTCAGATAAGATACGCGTTGTATGATCTTGAACTGGAGAACAAGGAAGAACTCTTAAGCTATCACAGCGAGAGACTTGCCGTTGCTTTTGTTCTTATACGAACTTCAGAACTGCCCATAAGGATAATGAAAAATCTTCGAGTTTGTGTGGATTGTCACTATGCTTTTAAATACATATCACAAATAGTGGGTAGGCAAATAATTTTACGAGACTCCAACAGATTCCATCATTTCACTGACGGTAAATGTTCGTGTAATGACTATTGGTGATTGAACAAGCATTGCCAGTCTTGACCATATAGGCATTTCTTCTGAGGCATTCATGGGATCTGTAATAGAAGATATGTGACCCATTCTTTGTCTAATCTATGGATACTTGAGTTGGTGAGTGGGAAGATTCAGTTCTATCATCTATGTTGATATCTTCCCTTATTTGGGTTTATGAAGATGGGCTGAAAAGGAAAATAGGGCCAAACCCATTTATGTCACTTGTCACTGAGTGAGTGGAAAGATTCAGTTCTATGTTTTTTGCTCTGGCAGTAAGGAAGAATTTGACAGGGGGAATTCCTTCGGCTTTGACGAAGTTGAGCAGTTTAGTGGAGTTGTAAGTTTCAATCTCCACCATTGGTTATTTGGTTCAAGAGGTCTTTTTCTCGTCCTTGTATCAAATGATATGACCTGTAAATGATCAACATATATGTCTTGTCATTGCAGATGGCTTGATGAGAATTCAATGCCTGGTTCAATTCCTAATTTTTTTGGATGCCCAAACTTGAAAAAATTGTAATTATTGAAATCTCATTTCCCATTTAGTTTTTTGTGGATCTTTTTTTCTATAATCAATTATTTTTCCTATCACAGACATCTTGAAGATAATCAATTGGCTGGCGAGCTACCTTCCTCCTTGGCAGATCTACCAAATTTGAATGAATTGTAAGTTTGCAGATCCTCAATTTGTCCATTATTTACACTTCACAGAACATCCTGCAAGATTCCTTGGCATGGCATTTTAGAGTATTCATTCTTTGACAAAATACTTTTAGTAGTTGAGGCAAGTCATCTTTTTCAGAAAGTATTTCCCTCTTTCTACTAATAAGTATTTTCAAGCAAACATAATTCTTGTCACATAAGCTGCTTAATTCACCTACATTATCATCATTGATGCACAATAGAGTCATGTTCTTTTGTTGCCTTGTCTACTGTGTTGGACCTGCATTCTCGCATTTAGCTATAAATTCAAATGCTCATTCCCTCTTTAATTGACTATCAATGCAGGTATGTTGAGAACAATATGTTGTTTGGAAGAGTGCCACCTAGACTTCTTGATCATGATCTGATTTTAAAGCATCTATTGCTATTAGGTTTGGAGCATGAGATAATTTTTGTCATTATTAGTTGTGGAGCATGAGATAATTTTTAAAGTATCTATTGCTATTGCTATTAGGTTCCACCGGGATTTGAAAACAAGTAATATCCTTCTTCACAAGAACATGAGAGCTAAGGTTTCAGATTTTGGTCTTTCAAAACTTGCAGTAGATGGAGCTTCCCATGTCTCAAGCATAGTTCGAGGAACTGTCGGAATTGTGCATCATTTGTGCAGATGGTGGGAAACTTGTGCTTTGTGATGGATGTCCAAGGGCCTTTCACAAAGGTGAACTATTGATTTTTTCATTAATTGATGTAGATATGTTATGATCTTCCTCTGTCAAATGCCTTCTGTTCTATCTTAAAAGTGAAAGCTTATTCAGGAGTAGTTTTTACCTCCAAGAATGGCACGTGAGGGAATAGCCAAGAAAAGAGAATCCACTTCAGTTGGATCCATCTTGTCTTGATCACGTGCCCAATAGTTCCAACTCTTAGTTGCTTTGAACCTTATTTTTTTATCGTTTGGAGAGTCCTTCAGATTCTCCCTTATCTTCTCTATTTTCTTCTCCTTTTCTTCTTTTTGTTTTGGGGTGGGGGGATTATACACATACCAACATACATCTTAGGGGATGAGGGAGCAGTAGTATTTGTAAGAAGAATCTAGACCACTGTTAGAGGGGAAATCTGCATCCTGCTTTCATCTGTTAGATGAAAACACTGAATTGAGAAGTTGAAGTACACCTTCTCCCTTTTGGCACATGAGAGAGAGGTGGGCTTGGATGCCTATTTAGATGAAACAATAACAGCTACATTGGATCTATGCAAAATTATATATGTAAAGAAATATGTATTTATAAGTAGATACCGTGCTTGTGTATGTGTATCTTTCTATAATTCGTATTTACATTTGGGGACTGTTCAACCTGCCAATAGATTTGACAAGTGATCATAGCCCGTAATTTTAAAATGATCTAATGGTATAGATTAATGTTGTTATTATTATTATTATTATTTTTTTTTAAAATAAAACTAATCATCTTCTCCACCCCAGCCACTACCACCACTATCGCCCCGAATTTGCAGATTCAAGAGGGATTTCTCCCCAGTTTTATCGAATTCACAGATTCGGGGGGTGAACATGGGGGAAATTCCCCCTGATTAAGGCTAGGGTGTGGTGGATGTGGTGGTGGAGTGAAGAAGATAGATAGTCCCTGTTTGGTTCAACTAAAAAGTTAGATTAAAATCGAAGTCAAATTCAACAATTAATTTTAACCACACATTTCATAGAATCCACAACTTTTTTGCCACACATTCTATAAACTTTTATCAAAATCTACTAAAAATCTGATTTTTTCCCTAAACCAAACAGGGGCTTAGTTTTTTGTTTTTTAATTATTTTGTTTCGTTAAAATTAGATATACACTACTAGATTAGTTTAATTGAAAGGCTGTCATGATTTGTCAAATGCATTTGTCAAATATATTGGTAGGTTGAAATGGCCTCCTTTAAATTTAACATGTAAGCTTTTTGTACTATGTTATACTTGTATGATTAGAAAGGTCATTATGTGGTTGTGCATCTTTTTCCTACACTTTAGGTATATTTTGGAAGGAAAATGTCATGGAAATGGGTCTATTCATAAACTATATGATTTTCTCTTATTGGAAGTTTGATGCTGCTTCTATCCCTTGTTCAAGTCTATCATATTTTTCACATGACGTGATATTGTTTGCCTTATTTCTAGCTGTATAATGTGATTTTGTGGTCTTATCTTAAATGGAACCTCCTTTATTTGGCTTCAAACTGTCTATAAGAGAAGCTGACAATACAGAAATTGTTTATTTACTTTCAGGAATGTTTTGATCCTATTGTCGATACAGAGACTGGACGGGACTTATTCCATCTATGGTTTATGGGTAAGCATAACTCCTTTTGCACTTTGTTAGTCATTATTATTCAACAGTTGTATCAGCAGGGATCATTCGGATTTTCGGACAAGATATAGCAGAACTCCCGTTAGCTGCTACTCGTATGGGTAATCAACGCAAGGTTGGTTCAATATGCTGTTCGGAATTTTATTGATCCTAGTTTGTTTTACCTTAACCCTAGCCTCCTCTTTTTCAAATCTGTATTTTTCCTTGACACAATTTTTTCCCTGCTGTGAATGAATATAATTGTAGGCCATACTGATTTTCATTTCTTGCTGTTTGGCTGATGGAATATATTATTGTATTAGCTTTTAGAGTGACTATTAGTTATTTACATTCGAATATTGACAAGGACTTGAAGAGGAGGCGATGCATAGAATTAAAGCGTGACAGGAAGATCCCTATAAGGTTAAATTTCAGTTCTTTGGAACAATTATTCAGGCTGAGGAACGTGACTTGTGGTCATGCTAGATTGAATAGGACGAGAAAGTAAGAATATATGTCAACAAGGAACAAGTGGACGTGGCATTGATTGAGCACAAATTGAGGGAAGGACGACTTTGTTGGTACGTGTCTAGTATAAACCTAAAGAATTTCCTATACAAGAATGATGTGACCAGCAGAAAATGTTAGGCAGAGGGATGTAGACAAAAAACATGTCCATCACGATGTATCTAGTTGCATTTGATTTTATAGTGGAAGTAGCAATAAACCGAACAAATTGGAGAAAAGAATTTCGGTACTCACTCCCTGTTTATTGGGAATAAAGCTTGGTTGTTGTATTGGGCTATTAGCTTTTTGAGGATCCTGATTTTTACCTAAAAATCAAACCAGTGTCTTAGTGTAAAACTTAGCCTAGGGTGATATAATCCCTCCTCTACTGAATCATCTATGTACTGAATGTTTATGACTCGTCTCAAGGATAATGCTTCGCCACCCCTTCCACGTTTTCTGAAGAAGTACGAAACAAAAACAGTGAAAACTTGAAATTCCAAAAAGGTACGACCATACAAGAAAATGTCGTTTGAAGTTTTAACCAAGTCATTTTAGGCCCATTTATATTTTTCCCAATGACTATAAAATATCCAAATATTTATGTGATGCTGAATTTTTTACAATGTTCTGATGAAGGTTCACTCTTGGTTTCCCAAAGTGCACCCCTTGGGAAAATCAAAGGGCTTCACATAAGCTTGACTATTGGTGGTGTTTGCTGGTGTGTTTCTTTTTCTTTTAATTGGTATTGAGGTTTTCCTAAGTTTGTTCCATGATAAGCCAGTAAGATGACTATCCTGTAACTGCTTTTGGCATCAGCGGCTTGATAGCTCTAGAATTTTGCCCATGCGATTGCTGATTCTGCATGATGTATTATCCATTGACTTCCCTCTTTACCCCTTTGCATATGTTCCTAAATGGACAAAGTCATTGGATTTGGTAGTTCTCCATTGACTTCTCTCTTTACCCCTTTGCATATTCTCCTTAATGGGTGTGCACCTCCAGATGGGCGGCCTGCTCCCTGGAAAAAAAGGTCTTTGATTTTCAGCAAGCATTTTTGGACTTGCATCTCCAGAGAAATCATCGTGATACAAAATTGTTTATTAGTTGCTTCAACAGTTCCATTTATTGACGTAGTTATTTCATCATAATAATGTTATATTGCATTTCTTGAAAGAACACAACTCCTCCGCTGGACCCTGGAAAAGTTGGTGCACAGGCGGTGGCACTGAGAATTTCCGGCTATCAAGTTGCATTTTAGGTGCACAAGATACTCTTGATGATGATCGAGGAAGGCATTATTTTAAAGAGTGCTTCATCCAAGGATCATGATTAATAATCCATCAATCTTTAAAAAAGAAACATGAAAAATTCAATAACAATTGCATTACGGTCCAATTATCTCACCCGGACCCGTTGGTCAGTACCCCGGGTTTCCGAACGGTCCAGCCAATCAGATCTGATCCCATTTGAAAACTATGATTTTATGATTATAAAATGTAATTTTCTCAGCGTTTTAACATCTTCGAACAAATTACAATTAGGGTCTGATATGTAAAGGTGGAAAGGAATTTTAATTCCATATTAGTTGGAAAATAAAAAACCACCAAATTCATAGGAATTCGTTTTCCATGAAAACAAAGAAAATGCATTTTAAAGTTGTTGAAATTTGATTTTCATTTTCACGTTGCAATCAAACGGTCAAAGTAGAATTTGTTTTCCTCGAATGTGACATTTTTCATGAAAAATATGTCAATCAAACAGGGCCTTCGTATAGAGCAGTACAAGAGAATTCAATCTTAGAAATTTGTTTATTTACTTGCGGTAATTATTGATTTATAAGGTTTTATTTGAGTAATCCAATTTTATTTAACTAATCCTAGCTATTTTATGAATTCCTATTCTAGTCCAACTAGATTTCGAGTATTTACAATGTTAATAAATTCAACCAATAGGAAGCGTCCGCTAAAATAAATACATCTCCAAGTAACAAAAGGTAACTTGTAAGATTTGCATATTAGCAAGAAGTCTACAAATATTGCAATATGTAACATATTCAGTCAAGAATTCAATTCCATCTCAAACTCTATTCAAGTATTTGAACTGATTATATATAAATATATGTTCAATTCTTAAAAACAAAGGAAGTTTGATAGATTTGCAGAGAATTTCGATGGTGAAGAACAACAGATGTTTGGTTTTGTTGTTTCTTATTAGTTTGTTCGTATGTTTCAATGGCGTGTTAGCCAACCATCGTCACAGTCACCACCACCACCATTACATCCGTGGCCGTCACAACCATCACCACCCAGCAGTAACTCCACCAGCAGTCCATTGCAGCCCACGAAATACACCAACAGCAGATCCAAGTGATTGCATGTCAGCTTTGATAAATGTGGATGGTTGCATAGGAGACCTTATATCTTCTTTCTTTACAAAAAATTTTACATTACATGCAAATTGTTGCCACGCCGTTTCAAGACTTTCGGAGAATTGCTTCGAGGAAGCATTTGTCAGCGTCCCCAGTTTTCGTCGAAGGGTCATATCTTTCTGCGATCATCATTCACCAACCGTGATCACTTGCAGCTTAAGTGATTAATTAATCAAATAATTTTTGTTATTTATTTATTCTTTTTGCAGTTCTATGATTTAGGTAAGTCTAGAATTCTCTTGGAAACTGCTTGTGATATGGTTTAATTCTTCTATTTCTCATTTTTTTCACCCTTTTTATTTTGTATTTACTATTTATGTCAAGAGTTCTATATGCCCTTTTTGGTTCACAATTAAATTACTTCTGTTGAATATGATCGAATGTATGTTATCGAGTCGATCTACTAAAGTCTCCGAGTAGCAACAGTTTGTTCACACAGTAGCAAAACCTTTTTCTGATATATAAATACCCCTTATTCCTTTTTTCAGATGTCATTTTCTGATTTATTATAAGAATGACATGAACTCAATAAACATGTTAAAAAAAGGTCGAAACACACTAAAATTAATATGAACCTTTCTAGTAGTTATAGAGTTGTTACTTTCGAATTATTAATCAAGATAATTACACCAAATGGAGCAATGAAAAATTATTCACGCAGTACACTTTAAATTTACTATGATATGAACACTTAGTAGTAATTGGGTTGAACCTTTTTTTTTCTCTCCAAACTAGACATGTAGTATACATTTAAGCTAGTGAATGATAAACACAAACTTTTCAGAATGTTCAATTTTCAATGTGCTAAATTTTAAAGACTGGTTCCTATAGAGATTTCCCTCAATCTAATTAGTTGTAGCTTGAAGTAAAAATTGGGGGCAAAGATAAAAGGAATTCAAAGAGAGGTCCGAAATATAGCATTAAATTTAATCAAATGTGGAGTATTTGAGTAATACAATAGAAATTCCAAATTATGATTAATTAAACTAAATAATAAATATTCAAGAACTACAAAGTTCTGATTCTAATTATTTTTATTGAATTGTGTTACATCTTGAATCAACATTGTGATATTCGAGTAAGATGAACCCCCTTCTTCTACTGCCTCCTTAGCCGTTTCTCCAAGCTTAAGAGCTCTCTTTCTTCTCTCTTCTCCCTCTCCTTCGTCCATAAGCAGTTCGATAGCTCTCTTCACTTGATCTCCTTCGATAAATCCCCCACTTTTCTCTACCCCAATTCTCACTCCGATTCTTAATACATGCACGATAAACTTTTCATTATAGAATTGCTCTGCGAACATAGGCCAAGTGATCATTGGCACGCCTGCGCATACTCCTTCCAAAGTCGAATTCCATCCACAATGTGTCAAGAATCCTCCGATCGAAGAATGAGACAATATCAAAACTTGCGGCGCCCATCCTCGGATTACTAGGCCTCTCCCTTTAACCCTTTCTTCGAACTTGTCTTCTGCTAACCATTTTTCAACTTCTGCAGAAGATTCATGCCCTCTTATGATCCAAATGAAAGGAAAATTCGATGCTTCCAACCCTAAACCAATTTCTTTTAGCTGTTCAAATGAAATGCGACAAAGGCTGCCAAAACAAGCATAAATCACAGACCTTGGCTTCATCGAATCAAGCCACATCATGGAAGGATGCTCATTAATGGAGGCTTTATTATTACTCAAAGAAACTGGTCCAATGCACCAAAGATTTTTCTTTACTATTTTCTTGTATTCTTCCACATACCATGGCTCCAAATCTTGAAAACTGTTCACCAGAATACCTTGTGCTGAACCCTCAACCTGCAAAATTTTTTCTACAAGCCCTTTATAATTATCTGACTTTTCCCTCATCGATTCAGGCAACTTTTTTTTTTGAAAGATTTGTTCAGGCAACTGGGATTTGGTGAATTCAATTTTGTGGGGTATATCTGATATTGAAAAAGATTCTGAATTTGAAACAATGGTATTGTCTTCGATAATTTTCATTATTTTGCGAGAGCACAAGAGTGTAAAACAAGAAATTGTTTCAAAAATATACCTTGGGATCTTGCATTTTTGAGCAACTTCTTGAGTCCAAGGTAGAGCATTACTGGAAATCATGCAATCAGGTTTTGGTTCTAATTCTCCAATCAATTTTTCAAGTTGGGTTTGCAGTAATTCACAGGCCAGAAAAAACTGATTTACTAATTCAGGAGAAGTGATCGTATCCATGTTTTCACATCCCTCAGGCAGTCCAGCTTCTTGACATGGAAATTTCAGGGAAATCATTTGAATCTTGAGGTTTTCCTCTATGGCATTATCAATTATGGGTTTGTACCTGGCAGCATTGAGGGGTGTTGTTATGATGGAGACGGTGACGCCTTGACGTGCAATTAACTTGGCAATATCCGTCAAGGGAATGATATGACTTTGGGACATTAGAGGAACAACGAGGAAATGAAGCTGCTGAATTTCAGAAGCCATTGATGAATTGACTGCTAGAATATTGGATGAGAGTTTTTTATGTTTTTTGCAGTCTAGGGATGCAAATTATATAAGGACAATCCAGCAAACGGATACGTATTAGAAAGGGATTGGAGCTAAACATGGCAAGACGATCCATGAACTAAGGAAAGTTATTGATGGAGCATGAATGTAGTAATGTGAGAGATCTTGAGCGGTAACAAGTAATTTTGTATTATTATTTTTGTTATGTTAACATTTGGCCCGTTTCTAGAAACATTGGCTTGGTAGGGCCGGTTCGCCATGTCGTGACAGGTGGGAGGGTTTTTTTTTTTTTTGGTTAACTTTTTAAATTGTGTATAAAACATTGTAGAAATAAAAGCATGTACGAATGTAAGGAATCATTAAGGGAATCAGAAACATGTATAAAACATTGTAGAAATAAAAGCATGTACGAATGTAAGGAATCATTTAGGGAATCAGAAACATGGCAAAATTACGGAATTACAGTACGAATGTTTCCAGGAAGCTACTTATTTTTTTCCCTTTTGGGAAAATTAAGTCCAATGCTTAAATTAACTGATTTGATTAATACTCTAATAACTAATTAAATCATTTAAGTACGTAATAAATACGTTTTAAGCCTATCAAAACCCAAATTAGTAGTATGTTTCAGAAAACTCCCAACGAGAAATTTTTATTCATGGAAAGTACAAGTTCGTGCATCGTGACAATATCAATCGAAGGATATCCCCAAAAAACTTGAATGATTTCTTAGTTTCTTCCAGGCATTAATGATTCTTCTTCCCCCTTCGTCCAGTTCTCACCAAAATTCCCACGTTTGATCATGCCTTTCAAAGGGCCGATCATGCCTTACTTCAGGCTGATCATGCCTCTCAACAGATTGATCATGCCTTACTTACTTGGGCTGATCATGCCTCTCAAAGGGTTGATCATGACTTACTTAAGGTTGATCGTGCCTCTCAACAGACTGGTCATGCCTTCCTTGGGCTGATCATACCTTATTTCAGGTTGATCATGCCTCTCCAAAGGCTGATCGTGCCTTTTGTCTCAAAATAGACATAACTTCAACCATGCCACCCGAGGAGTACAACTCGTTCCTCATGACGAATATGCATCCCACTTCAGAATCTCGAACACGATCCTCTGGCTTGGATGCACAGGGGCCAGTGATCATCCCATGTGTGGTATCTCGAGGACTATTGCCCGAGGTTCATATCTGTCCACGACTGGATTGTGACCTCCTCGGGTGATACTCATCGGCCACTTCCTCGAGGATGGGAATTCTTCTCTTTGAAGTTACGAATTTCCAAGGAAGGAATCCTGCTGTAAGTATGTTACCCCATCCAGAAAGGATCCTTCCACTAGAGTCCTATCTTTATCCAAACACATGAGCGATACAAAACCAATTAAATTGCAACTTCCAATCACGGT